CAGAGTTATTTCAAGGAGTCCAGGAAATCATATGCGCACTAAGCACATATCCATTTTCTGTGGATAAATGATGTGTCTTATAAACGTAAATAACCGTATTATTATCTTTAAAGTGTAAGTACTGTTCTTACAAGTAATAAAATACAAACTTATTTAAAAATCTTTGCTGAAATTGTAGCTTTTTGTATTTTATATCTTTTGTATTACGCATTTTGTATTATGTATTTTCTTAATCATGAATACTAAAAGTACAACTAACGTGTAGAGGAAATATTTTTTCTGCTTAAAAGGGGTGGTCATATCTTCCAAGTTGAAAGTTACTGCTTTCGTATTCTACTATAAATCACAGAGAATCTCTCAGGAGACGGTTAGAACATAGACACACTGCCTGCCTGATCCACAGGCACATCTAAGGCAGCTCAGCTCACAGACCCTGTCGCAGCAGCTCCAGGCAATGTGCCTTCCCTGCCTGCATTTGCAGCACAGCTGATTGGACCAGGGGTGGGCAGCTGACCCAATCAATCCTTAAACTGGCCAATGACCTATGGGGTGGTCTGGCACCATAAGGACAAACTGTGCTACTCTTTTATATTAAGCATTTTCATTTAAACATACAGACATTCAGCATATGAGACAGCCAGCAGCAAGAACTGACACTAGTAGATCAAGGTAACGAGGGAGCAAACTAACCCTTGAGTAGAAACTACCAGTAGAGAAAAGATAGAGGATGAGGAAGCTAATTGCAAGCAGGAGAATCAGAACGAAGTGGATCCAGGAACACAGCTGAGTGGCGTTGACAGAGAAGCTCTTAGGCAGCCAGGAGTGATTCTTTCCCACAGCTGTCCACTAGAATCGGACTGGGAGATGCTATACTTCGTGGAAATGCTTGGGGCCCAACCCGGATTTATTCACTCAGAATCTCCTGAATATTTAGATGTTGAAAAAGCTACAAAAGCCATTCTGATGCCCTCTGATTAGGAGTCCCTCACCCCCCAGGAGCCCTGCTGTGGTGCATTTTCCAGTCTCCTATTTCAGTGGTTACTTTATCTTCCTAATTGCCCTGTATGCATGCCCATAATTAAGCCCCGTTACCCAGCGAAGAGCCTCCATTCCTTCCAACCAAAAGTGTCTCACTACAACAGTCACTAAAGGGAGAGCTACAGGGGTAAACAAATTTAAGAACCCTTTTGTTGAGGCTGCTAGAGATACACAAAAGCTACAAGAGAGAACTTTTCATATAAAATCATCTTCCGTAAAAAATGTGGTCTTTTCTGATTTCTTATCATAAAGCCTCCTGAGGAGTGAGTTTTCTTTGAAGATTTATTTATATCTTTTTTTAAGGAAAAGGAAACTCCAAGATTATCCGACGACAAATAAAGGTACATACCTTTCTCTTGACTTTTTCTAGATATATGAGGCTATAAATTAATGAGGTCAACCCCGCGTGCCACACAGAAAAGCAGGCTTGTTCCTTTGCCATCACATGTGTTTGTATTTTGTCTGTCAGTCCATAGGCCTTTTTTTCCCTCATTGTCTGGAACCGTAGGAAGCAGCTCAGACACCAGGGAAATCTGGGATGTGAGTGTTCAATTAAGACAAATTCCTCAAATCAACATTTCTGTAACTTCTTTTTAAATTGTGCCTCCAGCACACGAAGGAGTGCTTGGATTTTCTATGACGGGAACTTAAGGAAATTTGAGTTTGCACAAGTGGTAACATTAATCAATTTTTCAATTAACAGTCATTCACTCTGAAGACAAGCTATAATTATAGATTGTTTTGTATAATCTCAGTATACAAAATAGCACTGTTATGGATCTTACAAATTAAAGTTACTTCATAATGAGTGGTACTTATCAAATTATATATTTTTTTTTTACAGTTCTTTGTAATTCACTATTAAGACATACACTTAGAATTGTTTCTTCTGTCTTAAGGGTTCAAACTAATGTCCCAATCCTTTCCAGCCTCACTCCCAATACTCCTCTTTCCTTCCTTACCTTAAGTTACCTGCCTTTCTCTACCTTTGTAGGCAGAAACAACTCCACCAGTAAAGTCCTTCGGATCATCCTCCTGCTTTAAGGCAAACTTCACTTCATCCCAGTCTACCCTGTAACAAGTCATAATTTTTGCACCTGTATCCCTCTATCATTTACCCAAAGTTTCTTCTATATTTAACACATATTGTGCAAATTATTTGCTTCTCTTTGAGAATAATAATAACCCCTAATGCATAGCACAGTGACTTGAACAAAGTAGTTACTGTACATTTTTGTTGCAAGAATGAAGAAATGTTTGTTTATAATTTCTAATTCCCATCCACCTATAGCCAATGACACTCATTACTGAGACGATTAACTGGAATGCAGTTTATGGCCAAGAAAAAGTACTTTCACTGTGATTCTGGATCAAAAGAAATCAAATTTATGATTTTGAATTTTAAGACCATGATCCAAATAAGAACTATCCACATATTAAATTGTTACAAAGGAATTGACCATCTTGAACCTAAAGGAAAATACATAAAACTATATTATGGATGTCAGTAGTAGATAGGAATGCTGTTCTATTAATTTTCTCAAAATAACTAATTAACCTCATGGATATATTTTTTCTGGAATATATTTCTCAAATTCTAAATCATTATGGGTTTGAAACTTTGAAACTTCATTGGATACTCGCCAAGAAGATACTTAACAAAGTGACAAACTAAGTAACTATTTCAACTTCTGAAGATTTTTTAAGGTTGACTATGACGTCAACCTGCTCTCAAAACAATGCCATCAGACATGAGTTTCCCAGATTGCTTTCCTTTAAACATTGCTTCAGCAGCCACATAGCACAGGGAGATCAGCTCGGTGCTTTGTGACCGCCTGGAGGGGTGGGATAGGGAGGGTGGGAGGGAGAGAGACGCAAGAGGGAAGAGATATGGGAACATATGTATATATATAACTGATTCATTTTGTTGTAAAGCAGAAACTAACACACCATTGTAAAGCAATTATATATATAAAAAAAAATTGCTTCAGTTTCTCAGCCCAGCCTTTCACAAAGCCTGCAGATTGTATGTCTTTTGTGTTTTCTAAATGCCTAATAATTAAAATTTCAACTTAAAGATAATAATAGAGACAGAATTATGATTATCTATACGTATCAAAATTGAGATGAAAATCAATCCTGAACCATAATTCTCAGGTCTATGTCAATATTCCTGAACCTTCACCTGAGTTCCAGAACCAAATCCTCACTTGCTTACTACACATTTGCAGTCCAAATACTCCAAGCTCACCATGTCCAAATGCAACTCTCCCTAAAACCAGCCCTCGCGCTCCACTCAATTTCCCTATCTCTGCTAACACGTTATTCTCTCAGTCACTAAGGCCACGCAAGTAGTAGCTTTTGACCATTTCTTCTCATTTATCTTTTGTTCTCTGCCACATATATATTATATGGATTCATCCTCAAAAGATCTCTTGTATCTATATTCAACCTGTGTTGTTCCCATGTACTTAGCATCCTTCCTTTTGGGGAACTATTCCTCTCCTATTTGAGGTGAGGCTGTGAAGCAGTCTCCTACCCAATCCTCACTCAGAAACAAGCATATGACCCAGGTCATTCAAGATATCTCATCCCTCTGGCAAATGTTATTGATCAGAGGGGTAGATTTATGCTGCAGGTGGAGCCAGAGTTCCTTTCTTTGAATTCATAATTAATATATAATTCTCTCTCTGCTAGAGTTGCTAATCTAGTAGATGAATTTGCAACTACCTGCAGGCATCTATATGCAGGAAACATATTTAGAGTAGAAAGAGAATGAGAATAAACCAAAGAAGTCATCAGAGCCAATATGGAAAGCCAGAGTGTTTAAACAAGTGTTTGAGCCCCTGGAGCCAGCCATGCCTGAATTCCATCCCATCCTTGGACTTGCCAGTTAGATGAGTCAAATTTCAAAATCCTGACTTGCCCACTTTCTGGCTAGGTAAACTTGGAGAAGCTCTTAACTCTTCTGTGTCTCTCTTACCTCATCTATAATACCTACCTCACAGGGTTATATGAGGATTAGAATAATAAATGCTTGATAAATGTTAGCAATGACCATGAAGTACCAGGGAATTCTGTTGTTCTTTAGTCTAGCTTGAATTGGGGTCCTGTCACAAAAGAAAAGGTACTGGTGACAAAGTTTCAATTTCCTTTAAAATGTGCTTGGACTCCATCCTTCCTCTGCCTTCCCATTATCACCACCCCCATGAGATTCTTGAGCAATGTTTTTGCTGGCTTGTCTGACTACCTCTGCACTCTCCACAGTCCACCCTAGTTACCAGTGGCAGAGCTACCTTCACTAAACATCACTTTCATCATGGAATTTCCCTGCCCCAATTTTTCCCCAGACTCCTCTCCCTGGCTTCCCAGGTTCCACCTTAATTAGCCAAACTGAATCACCTCTCTTCCTAACATTCCAGTCAACCTGACATCCTACCTTTCACAAGATCATGCCTTGCTAATTCATGTCCCTCTGCCTTACCTTGAGTCATTACCCTCACCCATCCCATCTTTTTCCCTCTGGATATAGTCAGCTCCAATCCTGCAAATTCCGCCTCCTCTATACCTCTTCCAACCATCATGCCTTTCACTGATCTTATCCTCCTTGAGATTCTGTATCATTTTCAGTTCTGTACTACAAGCTGCAACATGCAATCACGGATGATCCTGTATTATTTCAGGTGGGTCTAACTAATCCAATTAGAAAGTGAAGTTTTTAGGTTACATTTCTGGAGGCATGTCCCCTATCCCAGTGGCAAGCACAATATAGGCATCAAAATTAATATTTTTTATAGGGCCAAATCGTAACACTAACCATCCCTACTTTTTAAATTCTGGAGTTTTAAGAGAATTTTTCTTCAAATCAAGATAACTTTTACTGCAGTTACCTAACCTTGATGCAAAAACTCGATTCTGAGAGATACATAAATCTCAAATGACAAAATAAGGCAATAAGGCAATTTTAAGAGAGTTACATGTTTTTATTACATAAACATTACATTCATTGTGGGAGCTGGTCTTCAAGTTTGCTTCTTGATTTCATAGAATGTCAAATATCTGTAGAAATTATCTAAGAATGATTTATGAAACAAACACTCTTGCATCCCCACCAAAAGAGCCTCATTGCCCACATTTTCCAGCCAGATTCCTGAGAAAAAATAATAGGTTTTATTTATTTTACAGTGTAATACATAAATTTACTTTCAAGATATAAAAAAGGACAGGCTTCTAAAATGAGTCTCCTTTTGTTTATAAAGTTCTATAAAAATACATTAAGTATGCTAATATGTTTGTCCTTTGATGTAATATTCCAGTTTACCAGAAACAAAATAAAAACCACAATAAGCAAAGCTATGCAAGCCACATTAATCTTGCAGCAATATAATGTCAACATCATCATGAACACCTTGCAAAAGTAGCTCTCCTGGGTACGTAATCATCTTCCTTCTTTTTGCAGCTTTCAGAGTTCCTACCAGTGCTTCAAAGAGATTGGCACATTTGTCATCTCGGAAGAGGACCCCAAATTTCACACTTAATTTTCCATCAGCATCTAATTTGAGAAAACACAACGTTAGCCAATACAAAGTCTGTTTCTTGCCACCATGTGCGGCAGATACACATAACCTTTCATAAACATCTAACTGAAGGTTAACCAACATTACAGTTTAGCAGTCAACAGTCAGAAATTCAGTGTAACCTCTTGCCAGATTCAAAATGTGATAGAATAAATGCAATGTGTGTAGAATAAAAGCAATGTGTGGTACATCTCCTAGCTTCAGTGTCATCTGATAGAGAGTGGAAGAGAACTAAGAAACAGTAACAAAAAGTGAACGTGTGGGACTTCCCTGGAGGTCCAGTGGTTAAGATTCCGTGCTTCTACTGCAGGGGACACGGGTTCGATCCCTGGTCTCCCTAGCCGGGGAATAAGATCCAGCATGCCACACGGTGTGGCAAAAAAAAAAAAGTGAATGTGTTACAGCACTGCAGTGGACAATTCCTCTCTGTCTAAATTTCGATTTTTTAATTGTTAGTTGTTGAATCAATAAAAATAACAAGTACAAGAGAAACCCCAGATCAGGAGCAGTGTTTCTCTAAGTGTGTTCTGAACATGCTCAGAATCCCCAGGGAAGGAGTGGTGCCCTTAAAAATGAAGAAATCTGGGGCTTCCCTGGTGGCGCAGTGGTCGAGAGTCCGCCTGCAGATGCAGGGGACACGGGTTCGTGCCCCGGGCCGGGAGGATCCCACATGCCGCGGAGCGGCTGGGCCCGTGAGCCATGGCTGCTGAGCCTGCGCGTCCGGAGCCTGTGCTCCGCAACGGGAGAGGCCACAACAGTGAGAGGCCCGCACACCGCAAAAAAAAAAAAATGAAGAAATCTTTATTTACCAGAATCCCTAGATTATCTAGTTTGAAGGCCAGTTTTTAGTATAGATGTTAAAAGTTAAGGTAAACACTAAAAAGAAGTGAGCTACCAAGTCATGAAAAACGTGGAGGAACCTTAAATATGTATTACTTAGTGAAAGAAAGCAGTCTGAAAAAGCTACATGCTGTATGATTCCAACTATGGGATATTCTGGAAAAGGCAAAACTATGGAGAAAGAGAAAACTAAGTAAAAAGATCAGTGGTTTTCCGTGGTTAGGATACGGGAGAGATGAACAGGCAGAGTACAGAGAATTTTTAAAGCAGTGAAGATACTCTATGATACTATAATGATGGAGATACGTCCTTACGCATTAGTCAACCCACAGAATGTACAATACCAAGAGTGGAATGTGATGTAAACCATGGACTCTGGGTGATAATGATATGTCAATGTAGAGTCATCAACTGTAACAAAGGTACCCCTCAGGTGGGGGATGTTGATAATGGGGGAGACTATGTATGTGCGGGGGTCAGAGCGTATATGGAAAATCTCTATACCTTCCTCTCAATTTTATTGCAAATCTAAAACTGTTCTAAAAAAAGGTTTTTTTTAATTAAGGTAAACAAAAGGTGGATCTTTGGCTAAAAGTCAATCAACTGAAGTCTCAAAGGGTAATCTAGGACACCTTCCAACTGTTGGCTGTATCCTTTGATCTACCAGGCTGAACCCTTGACCCAGTCCTATCCTACTGCACTGCTCCAAGTTCTTCCCTCCCAAAGCTGCGCCCCCTGTCAAGTAGATGGCCATCACAGTGAGAAGGGTTCTTGAGTTCCTGCACTTCCCTGCTAGAGCTTATAGCCTGCAGCTTAGTAAACTCCTACTGTGGGTGCAGCCCTGTGCTGGGCACTAGAGGCAGAGAGAAGGAAGTATAGAATCACTTTCTAGCTATCAAAGAAATGGCTTCCATTCCCACAAGGAAATAAACATACAGTAAAACAACAGCACAAAGCAGTATGTGATTAGATGTCAAGAACAAGATGACTGGGCTAGAATGGGAAGGGAAGACTTCATGAAGGGCAGTACCTGTTCTGGACTTTAAAGGGAGTATAACACAGAGCTTTTTAAAAAAAACTCGACAGTCCTCAGTTGAAATCCTGGCTATCTGCTAGTTGTTTGGCCTTGAGAACTTTTATGTAAGCTCCCTAAGCCTCAGTTTCCTCATCTGTATAATGGAGATCTTAATACCTCCCACACTGTGAGGTTGGGGACACAGTTCTAAAGCACAAAGCACAGTGCCCAGCACATGCTAAGCACTTGATCGATGATCATTATTGGTTCAATTATTTTTTATGGATATAATACATTTTATTTATCCATTCATCAGTTAACTTTGGTTCAGTTATGAATGAGAGAAATGGGGTATGTGCCATTAGGCACAGGTGAAACAATTAAGTGTCTAGGAGGACAGTAATTAGAGTGGCTAATTTACTCACCGCAAGTAAACCGTCTCAGAGGAGAAGGAGGAAATAAGTTTGTAAAGGAAAACAGAGAATACTTGGCCTGGAAATCAAAGATGCACCTGTTTGATTTCCCTTTTTTTTGGGCCGTGCCTCGTGGCTTGCGGGATCTTAGTTCTCCGACCAGGGATTGAACCTGCGCCCTCAGCAGCAAAAGCTCAGAGTTCTAACCACTGGTCCACAGGGAATTCCTGCACCTGTTTGATTTCTTAACTTCTAGCTGCACAACCCTCTGTTTGCAATGAGAATCTTTCACTGATTACAGGAATCAGTGCAGCTGCTGGTAACCTGGCAGGTCCTTCAAGCAATATGAGTTGCAGCTAGGAGGGTAAAAATACCCTTCACACAGCAAGAATACGGAAGAGCTAGGATTCATTCCCAGAGTCTGACTCCAGGGCACACACTCCTTTTTTAAAAAAATAAATTTATTTATTTATTTATTTTTGGCCGCATTGGGTCTTCGTGGCTGCGCGCAGGCTTTCTCTTGTTGCGGCGAGCGAGGGCTACTCTCCGTTGTGGTGCGCGGGCTTCTCACTGTGGTGGCTTCTCTTGTTGCAGAGCACGGGCTCTAGGCACGTGGGCTCAGTAGTTGTGGCTCGCAGGCTCTAGAGTGCAGGCTCAGTAGTTGTGGTGCATGGGCTTAGTTGCTCCATGACATGTGGGATCTTCCCGCACCAGGGCTTGAACCCATGTCCCCTACATTGGCAGGTGGATTCTTAACCACTGTGCCACCAGGGAAGTCCCCCAGAGCACACAGTCTTAACCACTTCCCAATACACGTTTCCAATTTATCTGTCTTTTCGACACCTAAAGAGGCCCACAAGGGCTGAGATGGAATTTTGTTTATTTTCCCATCTCCAGCACTTGAGCACAAAGGTAGCACTCAAAAAATATTTGTTAAACGAAGGAGTTTAAATCTCCAAATAGTCTTTATCCACTTAATTCTTTTCTACAGGATGAAAAATGAGGGACTTTAAAGAACTTTAATTTAAAAGAAAACAGGTAAAACTAAATTCATCAAATCTCCAGCTTCGGCTAATACATCATATTTAGATTTAGTCTAAATATGATTAATCTAAATCATAATTTAGTTTAGTCAAAATTATTCCAGATACAACATAAATAACCATAACCTGTCAGTAGATAACATATCTCCATAGATGCTTTCCAACTTAAAAAGTCATCTATTACCAGAAACAGGTAAGTCAAGGAGGCCTAGTGAAGTTGCAATGTTCAAAATATTCTGGTCTTTATAGAAGTTAGGATAATTACTTTGTAGTCATCTAGTTTGTAAAGCTGTTCATTTTGAAGTGCAGGTTCAGTTTGCCTTAGCAAATAATAACACTGTGCTAGGGATATAGAGGTTAGACTTTTAAATGCAATTGAATCTGACCAATAAACACTAAGCTGACATGGAGAAGGATCTAATAAGAAAACCCAACAAATCTTTGGAAATATATCTTTAATATCTTTAACAATCCAAACAATAGTACTGCTCCCAAGAGTGACAGAGCTCATCACAGAGCTCAGGAGAAACTGAGAATGTAGAAATGAGGAACACTGGTAGGGGCATCACTATCAAAAATAAGACTCACTGAGCGACTTCCCTGGTGGCACAGTGGTTAAGAATCCGCCTGCCAATTCAGGGGACATGGGTTTGATCCCTGGTCTGGGAAGATCCCACATGCCGTGGAGCAACTAAGCCCATGGGCCACAACTACTGAGCCTGTGCTCTAGAGCCCACAAGCCACAACTACTGAGCCCACGTGCCACAACTACTGAAGCCTGAGCACCTAGAGCGAAGGCAGACTGCCTCTGGAAGCTAGAAAAAAAGGCTAGGAAACAGATTCTCTAGAGCTTCCAGAAAGGAACGCACCCTGCCAACACCTTGATTTTAGCCCAGGTGACATTTATCAGACCCTGCTGTGGTCTGAATGGCTGTGTTCTTCCAAAATTCATATGTGGAAATCCTAACCCCACAAGGTAATGATATTAGTAGATGGGGCCTTTGGGAGGTGCCAAAGTCATGGGGGGTGTAAGGGTGTAAAGTTATGAGCCATAAGGATTAATGTCTTATAAAAGAGGCTGCAAGATTTCATCAGCCATAAAAAAAAGATGAAACTTTGCCATTTGTGACAACATGGATGCACCTTGGGGGTATTATGCTAAGTGAAATAAGTCAGACAGAGAAAGACAAATGCCATATGATTTCACTCATATGTGGAATATAAAAACCAAACAAACAAAACCCCCCAAATAAATGAACAAACCCAACCAAACAGAAGAGCATGCTGTGTTGTATCACATGGAACTTACACAATCTTATAGCCCAATGTTACCACAATGACAGATAGATAGATAGATAGGTAAAAAGGCGGCAAAGAGATCCCTAGTCTCTTTCACCGTGAGAAGATACAAGAAGTCTGAGACCTGGAAGAGGACTCCAAGCTGACCATGCTGGCACCCTGATCTCGGACCTCCAGCCTTCAGAACTATGAGCAATTAATTTCTGCGTTTATAAGCCACCCAGTCCAGGGTATTTTGTTATAGCAGCCCAAACAGACTGAGACAGACTCCCAACCTACATGACCATTAAGATATTAAATGTGGACAAAACTATAATTCAAAAAGATACATGCAGGGCTTCCCTGGTGGCGCAGTGGTTGCGAGTCCGCCTGCCGATGCAGGGGACACAGGTTCATGCCCCAGTCCGGGGGGATCCCGCATGCCGCGGAGCGGCTGGGCCCGTGAGCCATTGCCGCTGAGCCTGCACGTCCGGAGCCTGTGCTCTGCTCAACGGGAGAGGCCACAACCCTGAGAGGCCCGCGTACCGCAAAAAAAAAAAAAAAAAAAGA